CATAAAAAATGAGCCATAAATGTAAGTCTCTAAAAATGAAAGTTTTCCACATTACAAAACTCACAGGCACAAAGACAAAAGAAAAATGACAGACAAGGGAAAACCATCTGCAACTTGTATTTCAGACAGAGGGCTAATTTCCCTAATTTATAAAGAGGTGTTCCAGATCAAGGGAAAGGCCAATAATCAATACAAAAAAATGGGCAAAGGCTACGCACGGACAAGAGATTCAAATATATAAAAATATTCTCATCCTTACTCATTTAAGAAAAATCAAAATTAAAACTACATTTGGAAATCAATTTTTTCCTATTGGATTGGCAAATGCTAAGAAACAAATTGATGAAACATTGTGTCTGAGTGTTGGGAAGTGCTCGTCCGGGCTCATGGCTGATCGGGGAGGAATGAGCACTGTCCCTGGGACAGGACTTCACACATCGATCAGAACCACAGATGTAAATTTCTCCAACAGTCACCGTGTTTCTGTGAACGTACAGATATCCTTGCAATCCTGGGAAACAGCTTATTTATTTGGTAGCATTCTTTGTCAGGATAAGAGGATCGCAAATGGTCTAAGTGTTCACCCGTAAAGGGTGGACTGATGACAAGTCTGTACAATGGGGCAATACATAGCCATCCAGAGATGGGAAAGTTTTTCATATATGGCCATGAATTAATAGAAAAATGCATTGAAAGTGGAAAGAGCAGAGTGGAAAGTGGAAAGAGTGAAAGGTTTGTGTAGCCACAAGGACATCCGTCCCTCTGTAAATAGCACCTTCCCTGTACAAAGCAGATGTCCAATACCCACTTGTAAAAAATTGAATGAGTAAACACATAGTGAGTGGTGGGGTTCACACATCACCGTCCCCGCCTCACGCTCCCATCCCTCATGCACTCAGGGTCGCTCAGGACCAGGCAGAGAATCACTGGCGTGGGTCAGCGTAGGACCCCAGGCAGACAGCTCTGTCCAGCAGCTACAGGAGGGCCTGGGTTCCTGGCTGTGACGGGCAGGGCTGGAACCCGCCCCTCAGCCCCCGCTGCCCTGTACCTGCCTACCTGGGTGCCACAGTGCCATGGCTGGTATTTCCCAGGCCAGTTAAGCCTTTATTGGGTTTCACGGTTTTGGCCTTCGTGGGATACCGGTCAATCTTTCCGCTCACCCCTTCCATTACCTTCCTTTTTCTTAACCTGTGACTCGTGTCTACTCCGTACCATCACCTGAGCAGTGCCTTTTTTACACTTTACCTTTTCTCATTTTGCTCCTAGGGTCTTTTTGCCACAGGCCACGAGGAAGGCCTGTGGCCCTGTGCCCAGCAAACTTCTAGAGGCTCTGGCCTTTTTCATAGCCACAGAGTTTCAATGGCTATTGTTTGAGGGTAGTTAGTAAGCCCTGCACGTGATAATAACTGCCAGTTGTTCACTCAAACATACATATTTAATGCTTCCTACCTGCCAGGCACTTCTTCAGGTCCTGTAGCATGACAGTGGACCAGACAAAGTTTCTACCCCTACAGTTAAGATGCTGGTAAGAAAGTGGACAACAAGGAAGAATACAGCACACCTTCTGGTGGGGTGAATGCTGCAAAGGGAGACATATAAAGCAGTCAAGAGCACAGGGTGTGCTGGGGTTTAGCTCAGCGGCACAAATGCCTGCCGGGCAAGCGTGAGATTGTGAGTTTGATCCCCGCTACCAAAACAGAACAAAACAAAAACAAACAAACAAAAAGAGCAGAGGGAGCAATGACAGTGTGATTTTAGGTCAGGTGCTCATGGAGAGCTTATTTGAAGAGTAACTCTGAAGAAATCAATGCGAAAGGCATTTCAGGAATGGGGAACACCAAATACAAATCCTTCTGGAGGAACTACACTGAGTAAGAAAAACAACCGAGAGAGAAAGTTCAGAGAGGCAACCTGGTCACGTTTGGCGTGCTGTACACCATGGCAAAGACTTTGCACGTGGTCTGCAGAGCCATGGGAAGGAGCTGGCTGTATGAAGCTGGTATTTTTTCCTATTGCACAGATGACACATTCACCAGTAGTAAGGGGCAGACCTGCAGTTGGTACCAACTGATGCCCGTAGGATACCGCAGGGAGCCCAGTACTAACATTCTAGTGGCTGGCTGGGGGAAAGGGGAGGACTGTCCTTCCCCAGCTCCCTACAGAGCCCTGACAAGCCCTGGACATGCTCTCAGGACTCCCACAGTGGGCAGGGTGTCTGTGGCTGAGTGCCAGGCCAGCCAGACCCAAGGAGATGCTGAGAAGGTACCAGCGTCCTGGCTCTGTGTCCTGCCCCCTATCGATGCATCCAATGAATTGCTCAACTGAAAAATTAACTCAGATCTGCAAACATCCCTCGTGTTTGCAGAAAGACACCAGGAAGTGCATGCCTGGGCTGGGGCCATTGGGCCACATGGTCCTCACTCCAGCCCAGGGCCTAGCACCAGTCCCCCAGATGGGTACTTATCCATCCTTCTAAAGCCTCAATGTAACAGGCTTCCCCTTGACATCCGTCTACTGGTGAATCTCCTTTCAGCCCAGTGGCGTGGCCCCACCTGTTCCTCCTGGAATTTATCTATCCAATTTGACTGGAGCTCTGAGGACAGTCAAGGTCTAGCTGGGGCCACTGAGGGTCACAATAGATGGCCAATACAGGGGCTGTTCCCTGAGGGTGCTTACAGTCCAGAAGGCTGGGAAAGGAGAGTCAGATACTAGAGAAATTTAAGGCCACATTAGGGTAGAATGTAAACCTCAAGAGGACAGGATTTCTGTGATCTACACTCAGAGACATGCTCAATGCCTACAACAGTGTTCAACACATAGTAGGTGCTGAATAAATACTTGTTCAGTGAGTGAATACATTAATGGGAGACTGGAACTATTGTTGAAGTGAGCATGGGACTGCTATGATTCTGTGACACTGGCTTTTCTCTTTCATAGTCAGATAAGTGGACCCTACATCCAGCCTTCTGACGCCCAGGTGCAGCTTTGCTGAGATTGTTAGGAACTGCCCAGGCTGTGCGGGAATCACAGCTCTGAGATCACTGCAGCACCCTAAGAGCGTGGGAAGGGCTGCTGCTTCTGAGACACCTGGGGTCCCATACAAGTGCTCTGTGCCTGGGGAGTATGTGTGTGGGTAGGGGAGGGTCTGTCCCTTCCTGGTGCCAAATCCAAGGGAACAGCCCTTCCACAACTGTCCTGTTTCTAACTCCTGGCCTTCTAGACTCTTCCTGGGGATTCATCCCTTCTACAAGTGTCCCTTGATGCTGTTCCCTTCCTGACCTTGCTCCACATTAAAGAATTGATCAGCCCATCAATTAATTGTGTCCTAATCCAATCTTGGCTTGGTTGGAAAGGGGGCAGTAAATCCAGCTGGGTAATCATGCCCTGATATTTGTGTAGGGATAATTACCATCTCTCCGGCCTCACTCGGTGGCAAGATGAGATGAAAACCCATAAAACACCACTCAGGGCCGTGGCTCATTGTCTCTTGGCTGCACAGGGTTGGCTGCCAGCCAGTCAACACCGCCCACTGCTGCCCTGGCACAGGTCCCAACCTCTTCCCCTCCATTCATGCATCTGGCAGAGCTCAACACCAGGGGCAATCTGGGGGCCGGCTTGGCTCGGGCCTGACAGCCAGTGGAGGCAGTAGGTGTGGCCCAGGGGAAGTCAGAGTCTATGTGTTGGGGATGCTAGGGGCAGCAGACAGGGTTCCTGTGAATTGGTACTTGTTACCCTGCAGGAGGATGGAGAGCCCAGAACTGTGTTTGCATAGATCAGAACCATGAGGTCTCATCCAGAGCCAATTCAAAAGGCTGATGACCTCTGGCAGGGTTCAGTGCATGTCCAGCCTGCATCTCCCATAAGTGCCATGACCCAGAACTTCCCCACAGATGGTACAGCTCTGCAGGAGTGGACTTGATTCTAGTAGGCCCTGGTCAGGCCTGAGAAAATGTAGTATCAAGATGAGGCTCCACCTTGATCTGCAGCCCCAAGAAGACATTCCCCAACTCACGAAACACCAAATGCCCCTCACCTGAAGGACACAGGATTAAGACAACTATAGTGTGTCTTGATTCAAAGGGTGGATCTACTCAGACCCCAATATTTGAATCTTGGGATTTGTAAGCTACAAGGTCTTGGATAATTTAGGTGACATCTTGATGTCTTTGTTTCCTCAACTCCAAAATGGGACTACCAGTACCTGCCTAACTGAGCTGCTGTGAGGCATGAGATCAAGTGCTGAGGTCAAGAGCTGGCACACAGCAGGTGCTCCTTAAGCATTGGCTGCTATTACTGTGACTATTATTTAGCTTTCTAGGCATCAGTTTCCCTCATCCATCCCTCAGCACTAGAACCTTGCTACTCTGTGGTGGGTCCTGGACCTGCAGTGTCTCTTCAGGCCCAGATGGTATCAGATGCAGTTCTCGAGCCCCAGCCCTGCAGGGCCAGCGTCTGACTCTGCACACCCTCCGGCTGACTTTGACACACTGCAGTGGAAAAAGCTTCCCAGTTTTCCACTCACCTCCCTGTCAAGTGAGCCCTCTGCCTGGTACGTAGTAGGTGATAGGCAAGAATGAATACCTGCTGTTGGGGTTTCTAAGCATCTGAGAAAGGCCCCCCCCCCCCAGGCAGTGTGGAGGGTGATTCTAAGGACATCTGTTGGATATGGTAGTGACTTAAGGGAGCAGGGACAAAGCATGTGAACTATGGCAGGACAGTGTAATGGGCCAGAGAGGTAGGGGGCTGGAGGTGCTGCTCAGATTGGGAGGTGCTGAAGAAGCCCAGCCTGAAGGAGTGCACTGGTCTCTTTTGGTCATGCCCTTCCATCTTAGCCCAGCCTACATCACAAAGGAAGACGGGATCATCATGGTGCTCTCTGATGAACACAGGCACATCCTAGAGGAGGTAAGGATGCAACCAGGGTTCCCAGGTCCTCCCTATAATTGGTTCTGGGAGGAGGAAGGCAGAATCAGGAAGAAACCCGAGGCCTCCATCCCTACCTGAGAAGGCGTTGTTGGTGTTGAGGAAGTAGATCTCCTCACGGCCATCCCCATCAATGTCACAGGCTGTGACCCCGATGGCGTTGCCTTGCCGGTCCCGCAGAGCATAGTAGGGTGAGCTGCGCTCATCTACAGCGATGTTCACCAGCCGCTTCTTCGCTCTGTCGTACTTCAGAACCAGGTTGGGGCCATTGTACCTGGAGGAGGACAGGGAGGGGACACTGGAACGCACAGCTGGCCTACCCATCCCACCCAACAGGCAGAGCAATGGGCTGGGGTCCCCACATGCTGGGGAGCCTCACCTTAGGGGTCCTTGGGCACCTGATGAGTGTCCTTGGATTAGGTATGGACCCATGCAAAATGAGAGTCCACTGGACCCGTATCGGACATATTATAAGGCAGAAGGGTACAGAGGGGAGTGGGCAGCCAGTGGCAACTCCCTCACTAAGAACTTCGCTGAAGAAAACAAAAACTTCCCAGGCATGTATCTTGGACGTTTCAATGTAAGAGTCACATTCACATTTATGACCTTATTAATTTAAAACTAACACCCATTAAGTGAGCTTGGCAAGGAAGCTGTGGAATTAACCCATGTCACAGACAAAGCCAGTGATGAGCTTTGTCAGGGAAACTGAAGCCCAGAAAAGTTGGATTCCTTTCCCAGGGTAACACAGAGAGCGGCAGGTGCAGGATCTGAACCCAGGCTCTTTCTGCATTCCTGAGGTCCCTGTGTGAGCCCTGGAGGGCCTGAGGTGTGGGACAGCAGGAAGACCCCACATGTAAGTAGTAGTAGTCGTGGGGTGCTAGCATCTTGCGTGGGACAATGTGAAAACAGCTAAGGTTACTAGACGGCCCTGCTGATCGCTTTTTCTTTTTTTTTAAATTTTATTTAAGGAGAAAAAAGAAAAACAGAAAAAGGGCACAAGTTATACAGAATTTTAGAAAAAATAAACAGTAGGAAACCACTAGTTAATTACATATTGTCATCTTAGAAATAGTTGTTGAAGTTACAAAATTAAAGCATACAGAGGGGACTTTCAAACAGTGAGACTGCAAACAGTTTTGTTCAATGGCTGATCTCTTTTTCTAAGAGACACAAGGATGGAACTACTCTCATCTCCCAGGCCAGCACTCGCAGTCCTCTCCCAGCCCCATCCGAAGCCCCAGGCCTGTCTTGGCCTCGGGGATTTTGCTGTTCCCTCTGTCCAGCATGCAGCTGCCCCAGAGTCAGGCGCTGGCTTCCCTCCGCCTCCTGCTCTCTTGCTCCTCCTCAGCGAGGCTTTCCGTGACCACACTCCCCAATCTGCAGCCCTGTCTTCCTCCCTTGATCTCTCTCCCTCTTCTCCTCCCTACAGCTTCTGCCACCAGTCCCCTGCTTGTTTATCTCTTCCTTCTGTGCTGGTCCTGCTGGAATATCAGTGCCGAAAGGACAGTACTTTCAGTCCAGCTTGTTCACCAGTACCTTGCCCGGAGCAGGTGCTCAACAGATACTTGAGGAAAGACTGGATGAGTAAAACCTCACAGCTCTTGCCTGACCCCTAAGGGCACAAGTGATCCACAGTCTTTCTATTGCCTTCCCACCTGGAGAAAATAAGGATCTGACAGGAGAGCAGGGTGTCCAAGGTCACCCCACAGGCAGTACGGCCAGGAATGTCTGGAGGCCTCCTGGGAGCAGCAGCCTTTGAAGAAAAGAAACCCAGCCACCTCCATCCGTACAGTCCCTGGCTGCTTGCCTAGGCTTTCAGTCAAAAAAGTCTATCGTCCATCCCATCTATCCCAAGTGAAGCTCAAATGCTTGCTGAGAACGCCTGGGGAGGTGAAAAGTGCTCTGCAGGTCACGGAGAGAAATCACTTCTTTCTTTCCTGAAACTAAGCCAACCTGGCCCTCTCCTCTGTCACCAAGATGCAGAAACCAGTGAAGTTTGGGGCCTTGGGGCAGCTGGCCAGGTGACTCTGGGCATCCATTGTGTGGGGAAGGAGGGTTGGGGGTCCCAGGGGCTGAGTCAGCGCAAGGTGAGGGAAGGTGGTGCCTTGGACACCTTGACAGAGTGCATCTGAGGGCTACGCATCAAGGGTGCTGTGCAGACATGTCTAGGCATGGGAGATGGAGCGCTTGGTTCCCGCACTGTCAGCAGCTGGCTCTGGCCCTCAGGACGGGAAATGCTTAGCAAGTACTAAACTCTGGTCTTAAAAACCTTGGACCTTCTGTTCTTCCATCACCCCTCTGTCTACCTCACATGAGGATTGCTCATAGAGTTCTCTCTCTCCTTTTTTTTGAGATACTGGGGATCGAACTCAGGACCTCGCACTTGCCAGGCAGGTGCTTACGCCACTGAGCTAAATCCCCAGCCCCTTTCTAATTTTTCTTGAAAGCATTTTTCTTCATGCGCTGTCTTGCCTGAACCCCACACAATCCCAAGAACAAAGCAGGTAAGGCATTTTTTTAGAAAAGGAAACTGAGGCATGGTGGGTTCAAGGTTACATGGTCCATAAGTGGCATCCCTGAGCCTCCATGTCTCTAGGGTCCAAATCTTTGGTTTTTTCCAAACTGCCTACCACTTCAACACTCTCTGTCCTTTGCACATTTCTTCCTGGTAGCTTCTTTCAAAGTAGTGACCAGGAGAAATTCCTGAGAATTTTATATAAATGGCAGAGATGCTTTACAGTTTATAAAGTACTTTCTAGTCTTTTTTGCTCTTAAAGCTCTTTCTAGCTCTGCCAAAGCGTAAGCTGGTGGCCTCGGGCTGGTTATTACTCCTCTCCAGGTTCTAGGTTTCTCTTCTGTAACAGGAAAGAATTGGTTTCTATGAGAAGGTTGCAAAATGCATTAGTAAGTGTGTATGTGGGGTTGTCTCTGGACCTCCACTCTCAGTTTCAACCAGACCATTTCTACACTGACACATTTTATTTATGTGACACATTCCTTAGCAGGCAGAGCAAGGCATTCCAGAGCTGGGATGTAAAAGCCATTGGCCGAGGAGCTCTGTTGCCTTGCAGAATGGGCAAAGTGAGCAAGCACCCTTCTCACAGCTTCCACTTTATAAATTCCAGCACTGAAGGGCTGGGGATTTAGCTCAGTGGCATATGCACCTGCCTTGCAAGCAGGCAGTCATGAGTTCGATCCCTGGTACCGATAAAAACGAAAAAGATAAAAAAAAAAATTCCAGCACTGATAGCTGACTTTACCCCCTCGCCTCAACCCCCGGGAGTCAGCTCCTAGGGGATGGGAGGTCAATACCCTCCATCCATGTTTTCAAGGCAAGTCTTGCTTGTCCTGAATCTGGGGTGGCTGTGGTACACACAGGGTCCTTGTACCCATAGTAGTGGCCCTAGAGAAAAGATGGCCCTGACTTATTTCTTCTTAGAAGAATATGGGGTGCTGGTTCCAGGGGACCCCCTAGAGGGGTCATAGGGTGCGCCTGCTGAGCTGGTCAAGTTCTTTGATCTATTAGGGGATGAGCATGTGCAGAGGCCTCTGCAGACTTCCACAGTGGTGTGGGCTGATGACTGATGTTTTAGCCTCCTCCACCCTGCTTCCCTAGCATCAACAAACATGAAGCCAGCCCAGAAGAGTTCTTGACCAGACCCAGGCAAGGCCAGAGGGCAGCACTTGGAGTTGCCTCATCAGCTGGCCTAGATGGGCTTGCTGGACTGATGCCCAAAGCCATGCACAGAACCAGCTGCCTGCCCTCCCTCTTCTCTAGGGAGTTGATGCTCCTGTCGGCTTCCTCATTCTCCCCAGAACTGGCTCTGCTGTTTGGCCATGCCTGTGTCTTTGCTCAGCTGCTGCACCTCCTCCATAGGGAGTGTTCTCCCCACTGTCCCAGTCTATCCCATGAAGCCTTCCCCAACTGGGTGCCTGCAGCGTCTGCACCTTGCTGCCAGGGCAGAGGCGTCTGTGCTCCGGCATCTCTTCCCTCATTAAAGATAGGTTCCAGCACCCAAGAAACATGTGAGTGACTGTGGCTATCACGTGCCATGCTTAGAGCAATGCACACAGGAGAAAGGGCTCTGCAGACATCAGAGAAGAGAGTGTGAGAGAGACAGGCGCCTGCGCCGGGCCTGTGATGAGCACTTCCCACCCTCGAACTCTCCTGCCCTCCATGGCAATCCCAGTTTGGGGATCCTGGCAGAATGTGTGCAGGGGCAGAGTTGAGATGTCTTGCTCTTAGTCACTCCGTGGTCGGTCCCCACCCAAAGAGCTAGGGAGCTGGATGTGAGCTGCACATTTTCCCTGACACCTGCCAGAGACTGTCAGGCACTATAGAAATTCAGAAGGCTTTGAAGCACAGTTAAATGGGCCAGGAAAGGAACAAGGTCCTGTGTTCTTGAAAGGCCGCTTTGGCTTCTCATATCAAAGGATGGGTGAGCCAGGAGTGGGGGAAAGAGGGTAACAGCAGCGTGGGGGTGGGGGTGAGGCCTGGCCCTGGCTCTGACCTTGAGCTTGTTACTCAATTCCTCTAACTTCAGCTTACTTCTCGGAAACTTTCTGTAGCTTGGAGGCTGCCACGTTCCTGACAGGATGGTTGTGAGGATTAAGTGTGAGAGTGTGTGTGACAACACTTGGTAAACTGTGAAGAGTTACACAGTTAGAAGTTCTCATCACTATTTAAAAAACACAACAAACCTGAGCCACGACCTCTCGCCCTCCAGTGATCATTCTGTCAGCTTCCAAACACGCTTTGGTGTTTCTCATCCCTAAATGTCCCATCTTAGCAGCTCATCCTTTGCACGCACATTTTTCTCTTAAATTTTTTTTTTTTTGGCAATAATGGATCTTGAACCCAGCGGTGCTCTACCCCTGAACTATATCCTAAGTCCTTGTCATTTTATTTTGAGATAGAGTCTTTCTTAGTTGCTTAGGCTGGCTTCAAACTTGTGATCCTCCTGCCTCAGCCTCCTAAGTCTCTGAGACACACCTGTAGGTGTGTGTGTACCACTGTGCATGTCGTATGCTTATTTCCCTTTATAACCAGACTTCTCAAAAGAGTTGTCTTCATAAGCTCTCTCATTTCTTACCTAGTTCACTTGCTGTGTTCAAGTCCTGCAAAGCCACCCTCACTGCTGTCACCTGTGACTGTCATGTGGCCACAGCTAGGAGGTCCCACGCTGTTCTCCAGTTTCGGTCTCTCACCCGTACCTGGCCCTGTTTCCAGCCTCACTCCCGCTAAGCTGCTCTCCTTTCTGCACTTTATGA